TTGAGCATCTGCTATGTGCCAGGAACTGAGAGATGTTTTACACATATTATCACTTTAAGTGTTATAATCTTTACATAAATTTTCTAACACTCACATCAACCCTGTATATATAATTATCCCCAGCTAAAGATAAGGACCAGGAGACATTTTTAGTTTAAGTAACTTGTTTAAGGTCAATAAACAAGTAAGTAGAGTAATATAAGAAGTAAAAAAGAAGTATAAGAGTAAATAAGAAGTATGAAGCTGGAACATGCCTGAGTGTGGGGAAGAGGGTGGTTTGAATGTAGAGAGTTATAAGAAAATCCTTTTCTTCAACTCCCCTCATAATATCAAGCTAAGAGCCCAAAGAAGAAGGTAAATTTCTTCTGGAAATGGGAATTAAGACCATAAAGTGCAGTTACCCCTTCCACATAAAATTTTTTTCCTCTATTCCAATTTTAGAGTTAATTCTCTAAAATAATTGGTTTTATTTTATTAAGGGAACTGGCGTGGTCCTTACAAATGACCTTGTTTATTTAGAGTCTCAAGATGGAATTGGGAAATTTGAGTAAACTCTTCCATGATACTTGGCTGCATTTCCCATTGGGGAAAAAATGTATTCTTTAAAAAATTTTGCTTGGTGAATCAATGTTTGGAGGGTATTCAAGTGAGTAAAAGAGTTTGTAAGGTGCATGAATGACTGGGGCTTGGACATCAAGGGTAAGTTCCATGTTTCAAGAGAGGAGAGTCGAATGTTGGGAGGAAACTGTGGAGGTACCTTTGTGAAAATGGAATTATTTGCTGCACTGCCCTCTGATGGTTACATAGGCCTTGGGGTGGGGGGCAGGAATTAGGTTATCCTTTGCATTTAAGTGACCAGAGGCAGTTTTGTTATTTCCAATAAATTATCTCAGTGTCTATTAGAAAAAAACTCTCCAGAGGGGATGTGCAGACTTTATGCCACCCTAGAAATACTCCCTTTGGTCCATGAACTTACGTGCTCTCCCAAATGTGATAACCTGATAACGTAAAACAGTGATATTTAGGGTTTATGGCTTCTAGTTCAAAGAGTGTTAAGAATTGGAATAGAGTCTAGAATGGTCCAGGATAAGATATTTGATTCATAAGGTCAGTCCTTATTGTGGCCAAATTATATAGGTTAGCCAAAGGCCTTGTCTTAGCTCAATATGTTATATACATTTTGTTTCTTTAAAACCTGAATTGTTTTGAAACCACTAGTTATTGGATCGAGATAAAATTAAAGAACTAAAAGGATAAAATTAAGATATAAAGAATTCCCTACAAATAAAGAATACAACATAATTCATTTTTATAATACACTGGTTATGTTTTTCTTTTCTTTTCTTTTTTTTTTTTTGAAATTCCATAAGTTTCAAATGTCAGGTATTATTTCACCTCATTTCTAACATATTTATCTCTTGGGCTCTGGAACTTAGTGGGTTAATGTGAGGCTGCCACATCTAACTAGAATCCCAGTAAGATGTTGTTCCTGGTACCTTTCCAGGTATTCTGTGGGCATTCCAAAAATACTGCTAGATGAAGGTGAGACAATTTAACCAGAGACTAAAACCATTGTTTAAAATTTCTTTCAAACTGATTATTCAGTTATTACTTCACTGTACTTCAAAAATATGGGAGAAAGGTGGAACCATCAGTAAGATTAAATTCGGGGCTGGCTTTTGTTTTGTAGATTGCATTGGCCAGCACCTCCTCTGGGTGTTTCCCCAACACAAAGCTTACTGTTGACACCACAGGTGACTCTGAAGATGGAAGGAAGATTAACTAACATTGGTTAGTCAGTGTGATATTTCACCCGCACAAAAGTGGGCTTTCCTGAGTAAAAGAAACTATTTGTTGGTTCTAGAAACAGTCACCATTTTAAAACATGGTACATGAGTTATGAAGGTTGCTTGATCGCTGCTTTCTGAGGTATCTCTAATTTATCGTTATTTTAGATGAGTGCAAGCACCTATATAAATAGACATAAATGATTCTCTGCTCGGGAATCACAGTGAGCTATAATTCCCATGAGTCTCATCTACTGCAATAGTTATTTAACATTTTAAAAGATATCTTGAAATTTAGACAAAACAAATTAATTACTTGTTTCTAAATATACTGTTATTCTCAATTTGTGCCAAGAGAGTAGTAAAAACTAATATTTGTAATGTACTTTACAAGTTTACAAAGAACTTTTCACATATTGAAATTGCTACCATTTATTATGCCAAATACAATGTTAAGTTAGATTCTTCAGATACATTTTTCATTTAATCATCACAATTTTATGAGTAAATCTTACATTATCTAGTTGCTACCTTTAAACAGACTTAGAGGAATCAAAAAAGAATAAAGGAACGCCAGATATAGGGTGGTGTCCTAGGCAGCACTCTTCTTTTACCAGATATTTTCCTCCAAAAGGGATTTCAAAGTCAGAGCTGCCCAGCCACAGTCACAGAATTATAAAACGGAAAGGGATGCTAGGGGGGACTCAACCTAATAAAAACTAAAAGTGATGATGATTATGAGAAGATAATTCAAATCACAAAATGCTATGGAAAAAAGGAATCAATTATATGCAATTAGATTCATGGCTGACATCAGACTTCCATTCATCTCTCTATGGTGTCGTTTACTAGAATTCTAACAGAATTTCAGACATAGGATTTGCTCATTTCACTTTGTTTTCTTTATTCTCCTTTGAAAGTTTAAGATTTTCCCTGATATTATGGGAGGCAGAAGTTTAACTCAAAAAAGGAAGATGGGTCTGTGTCTGCATTCACAGGGATGGTTGGTCCTTAAGCAGAACTGTATTATCCCTAACCACCAATTAGCTCTGGGGAATTCATCTGTCTTAAGGAGAGAGGTTCAGCACTTCTCTATTTACTTTTGCAGTGGAATAATATTTCTGCATATTAATCTCTTACCTCCCTATAGTTTCCTCTTTTCCTTTTTTTCCATTCAAGCAGAAAGTAGGCTCTGTGTTCACTGTCCCAGGGAAGGCATATGGCAAGGTGGAAAGCAGAGGAGTCTACAAGTTTTTTCTGGCTCTTGTTTTCCACAAGCCTAAGCCTTTAGAGGAAAGGAATTTCTAGACATAGAGGTTTTTATTTTTTATTTTTTATTTTTTTCCGTGACCGGCAACGGATCGCAACCCTCAGTGTCGCGCCCATACCGGACCAGGACCGGCAACGGGATTGCAACCCTCGGTGTTGCGCCCGCACCTCGCTCAGCCAGTGAGCGGCTGGTCTGTATGTGGGATCCGAACCCTCGGCGGGAGCGCCACCGCGCTCCCAAGCGGCGCACTGTAGCAGTGCACCACCGGGCCGGCCCCGACATAGAGGGTTTTGAAGAAACAAAAAAGGGGAAGAACTTTCTTCAAACTGAAAAGACTGAAAAAAAAAATGTTCTCTGGGTAGCGGGGGTAAGACAGACAGACAGACACACACACACATGCACACACACATTTTGATGCCTTGAGAGTATAAGATTCTAGAGCTGTGGTACAAATCTGAGAAAGGGCAGAAGCTGATGAAAGATTGATGTTAAGTATCCCTACAAACTGCCCCCTCAATGGAGGCTCAAAATTACTTGTATGCATATATGAAAATTATTCAACTATTTAAAATATTATTTATGTGATTGCTTAATTATATAAAGATGTTCAAAATACTCTGTGATATAAAAGTACAAATTATGAAATATTATTAACTGTATGATCCAATTTTGAAGGAAAAATGTACATATAGGCATAAAGAAAAACTTGAAGAGTTCATATTATGAGTGACTTTAATTTTTCCCTTCTAATTTTTCTTCAATTCCTAAATGTTCTACAAATAATAGGCGTTCCTTTTGTAATAAGAACAATACCATAAGCATTATAAAATAAAATGCAATTAGTTTACACTTTACACTGAGAATACTACACATTGCTTTTATGGAAAAGGTCAGGGAGAGAAGATTCCCACCCTTCTCTCACAATTCTGCTGACGTGATGACTGGAATAGTCATTCCTTCACCTGCTAGGCTATTAGTGCCAAAATAATGCTTAAAACAAGGCCATGGGCTGAATAAAGAGCAACACACACACACACACACACACACACGGCTGAATAAAGAGCAACACACACACACAATGTAAGAACTGAAAGATGAGAAAAACCAAATATGCAAAATTTGGGATGGGGAAAGAGGATAATACCTTTTTTTTAGCATAGTGTCTCATATAAAGTAGGTGCTTAGTGAATAGTGAACAAGACTAAAAACAAACAAGAAAAGGAAATTGTATAGCACTCTGTAATATAAAAAAGGCAAAGTCAGTTTTGCCTTATAAACCCGATACATTTTCTAAATAAAACACTCTTGTATTAGTTAAGGAACTCCAACATGTAGACTACTGAATGCCAGATGAGAATTTATTATAATAATAGGATATACAGAATATCCTGTTAGAAACTGGGATAAGGAATTCTGATTTTGATTTGATAATAAGAAAGTTTACACACTGATATCTAATATTAGTGCATTTTGGTATACATTTGGATAACTAGATAAGTAGAGACAAAATGTATTCTAAGAAGACAAAAATTATAAATATGTCATCATATTTAATTTGAATTGTGTTACATATTAAAAGTATCTGAACTAGTTATTTCTCGGTGTTTTTCTATATTAACAAATATATGATAATCAAAGTAGGTAACTTAAAATCATGCATTATTATTTAGCATCTAAATACTTCCTAGTGTCTCTCAACAAATCCAGATATCATTAATGTAAATTATACTAATGGGAGATTAAACTGCATTGACTATAAATTCCACATATAACTTCCAATTCCATTGAGAAACTCCTTTTATTATATTTGCTTTGGTCAAATTGCTTTACTTTCAGCTGTTTCCTTGAAACTGAAAACAAACATGGAATTTTTACTGACATAAAACATTAACTCTCCACATCACTGTTTCTCCATCTAGTCTGTATTTTAAAATTGTACTCACCCTTGGGAATGTAAATGAGTTTATTTCTTCGAAGAATTAGCACCCTTAGAAATGGAAGCCCACTTCTGAAGCTGCTTCTGTAACATTTCACAAATAAGAACTTAGGCCTGGGTAGATCCAATGGGATGGAGTGGATGGCATTGTTGCTGAGGTTTAATATTTCCAAAGCATGTAAATATGTGAGAGGGCTCAAAGTTATTTTTGATATGAGATTGTTACTGAGGTCCAAACATTTTATTTTCCAGTCTTCTTTTTTCATGTGAGACTGTAAAAGAACTCTAAAGAAACTGAAACTTACATCCACTTTAGCTGCTGTCTGTGATATGTCCACAGGTATATCATGTTTTGCAGTGAAAGAACAATTTGCCAGAAGATATTCATTCCATTGGCACTCAGAATTGAATAAAATACTGCTTTTTCTTGATGGATTTGTCATTGTTCCAGTAAAATAAAGACCTATAACAATGATTCTGAAATAGAAGTTTGTCATAACGCCTGAAAAAAGGAAAATGAATTGACTTACTCAAAATAACTTACATAAAAATTAACAGCAAATAAGAAGCAGAAAATTTAATGTTCAATTTAAGATTTAGGAAAGTTGCCTTGCCTTAATTACCAATTTAAGTGAATGTTTGATTTCTTAGAAACTGGGGCATTTAAAATGTAGCTACCAACATGGTATCACTATAGTACAAAATTACACTTATGTCACATTTTAGAGAAAGGACTCCCCTGATTTTTCAGAAAATACATATTTACTCAGGCCTTACCTCTGCATCTGCTTTTCCAGTATCATTCACCCTGCAGTCTTCTTTGGAATGAGTGAAATCTTACCAAGATTAAAGACTCCTCTGTTTCTTTGCTGGTCATTAGTATCGAGCAAAGTCTGTTTGCTTATCTACAACATTGTAACTAGTCATGTGGTTTATCACATGAATGACATCCAGTTACACTAAACTGTGAACCTTCCATAACTATATGAGTATAAAGTTCAACTTACAGAAGAGAATGTTGATTTTATGATTAGAAGAACTACAAGCTTTGTGTGGCTTTTGTGACTTTTCAAATCATTTTGAAGTCATTCAGGTATATACAACATAAATAAAATGGGTTATAAAAAGGATGCTCTGACTCAGAACCATCAAGATATAATAAGCTATAGAAACATCAAGCCTATTTTTCACCAAAAATTATTGAGAAGCAATTGAGTTTTAAACAAGTGCCATATATGCAAACTACAATGGCTAAATGTATATATGAAAAAAATTTTAAAAGAAAATAAATGGATATTTTTGTGATTTGTTTCATGAAACTACATCCCATTAAAAAACCCGTGTGTACTGGTTCCCGCTCACTGGCTGCGTGAGGCGCGGGAGCAACGCCAAGGGTTGCGATCCCGTTGCCGGTCCCGGTCCGGTACGGGGACGACACTGAGGGTTGCGATCCGTTGCCGGACACGGAAAAAGACCAAAAAAAAAAAAACGTGTGTGTACAAATAATCCTATTATTCAGTACATAAGTTTACAACAAATCACTCCTTCCTTTCTGTTCTCATGGCACCTATGCTAGTTTTCATCACTAGTATGAACTGCTAGAATAGCTCTGTTCTTCCTGCCTCTGCCTCTTGACTTTCCTTCTTCTTGATCCATCCTAGGTGATCCCAAAGGATTTCAGATTAATATTGTTTTCCCTCATATTATTTCCTCATTCAAAATCTTCAAAGGGCTAATAAGGAGCTTATAGTCCAAATCTCCCAAGTTGGCATTTAAAGCTTTCTGTTATCTAGCTAACCTTATGAACCAGTTTGAGTACATGTGTAACTGCAAGATGTGGCTTGTGCAAAGAACTGTAAATGTGTACGCCATGCTGAAATTAGCTTTTAGTCTATTCCCAATTCCAAGTTCAATGCCTTTTCCTCTCCTCAGTCCAAATCCTGCATATCCTTCCAGACTCAAGCCCCTTTTTCCTGCTTTAGCCTCTATTTTGTCTTTGTTTTCAGAAATCTTTCAGTAAATATTTATTGAATAAATGCATGTTAGTAGCATCCAGTTTGACAGAATGTTAATATTATCCTTCATTGCTTTGCTTTGTGTTTGTTTTGAACTCCCCAAAAGAAGTTATATATACTACTTCTTCCCATGTTTTGTATTTTTAATTGTCTGCAGTCTGACAATGAGCTATGCTCTGTTTACAAGAATGAATGAGTGGAGTGAATGAAATTTACAATGTAACTTTCAAACTTCTGTTTCATACAAGGTCAATTCTCCCATAATTTAAGGGCCTCTAAATTCAGGTACACATGGCCATGAACTGCAAAGGTGCCCTAGAGCATGGAGGAGTGATTTATTTTTATAGTGTGCCTCTTATGCAATACGAGAAATTGAGTTAATTTGCCCAGTCAGAAGGATATTTGTTTCTACATTCAAAGCTGCAGTCATTATATATACAATTGTACACCAAGCTAATATAACATCAGCAACAAAAAAATATAGTCACCATTCAAGGCACATTACTTTGAAGTACTGAAGAGAAAGATGTGGTTGAAAAATAGTTTTTCTTAAGGGGACATAAGGATTTTTATTGTCCTGGTTCTTTTTAAGATGAAGAGATTTATATATTAACTAATAGATTTGAGTTCAAAAGAACTAGATAAGGATAATCTTGCATCTGAAAGTGAAAGGTATTAATTTGTAAAGAAAAATTATACTACATACAAATTTACATGTACTAGGTAAGGAACCACTGAGAACTCCAAAAAAAGTTGCTGAGGAAATGAGAAACAGGTAAAATGTAAATCTTTAAGTGGACATATTCAGCTGAAGTATGAGGAAGCCGCTGTAAATACTGCATGTGTGTGCGTCAGAGAGTGAGAGAGATAGGGAGAAGGCAGCAGAAAAAACAGAAAGTAGAAAGAGAATGAAGAGTTCATTCGTACATAAAAGAAAGAGATGCTGGTAAAGCAGAAGGAAAAAAGCAACAGAGCCTATTTTTGGTGATGAACAGATGTGGAAAGAACACAAAAACAACACTGCTTCTAAGACATACCTTAAAATCCTAGGTAGTTTTCAAAGGTCTATTATCTGCATCAAGCCAGGTGGGGATTTAATACCTAAGCCTTTGAAGCTCCACCCATACTGCCATTAGGGCTGCCCAGTGGCAAGCCTTCACTCTTTCGCCTCTGGTTCTGTACCCTTGCCATGATGACAATGCTCACATGTCTCCTGTGACATTCCCCTGGGACATTCTCCACTGAGGCACTGGACAGAGGCCTTCTGCAATGTACGGAAGGTAGGACTATGCAAATTGGGAGTGTACAACTTCCTAACTTTGAGTTGTAGGATTCTAGAAAGATTACATAAATACTAGTAGTGACCCATTCTCAAGCCATATTTAAACCCATTATGTTTACATGATTAAGTAGAAACCTGTTAATATACAACCATTAAAAATAAACAGCAAACAATTTACAGAATTTTTATTGTAAACAGAGGTCATTAATAGTTATTACAAAATGCATTAACTGAAACTCAAGTTAGCAATCTGAAACAAATTTATAGGTTTATTTTTGTATGGCACAGTTTGTAATCTTTGCCCCTCTCAACACTTTAAAAAAGATTACTAATATTATCTGCATTTCAATGGTTGCTTGTCAGGTTTAGCACCGTAACATTCTCACCCCTTTAAAAAACACTCATTCAAAACTAGGTTGAACTTCCACCTTTCATCATCAAAACTATCACACAAAATTTGTTTTTTCACAATGCAAAAAGAATACAGATAAATATATTTTAAAATACTGCAGACTATGTATAGGCAGTCCCTGTTTTGTGTTGTTTTGCATTTTTCCTATCTGCCCATTAGACAGTCTCTAAAAAATCCTGCATTCATTTCATTTGTCCCGCTTGTCATTGCAACTCACCTCCAGAATACTGTAGTTATTTAAACAAGCATGCATCTGCGCCCCCTCCTGGGGGCCTGTCTTTGTCATCCCCCTTCCCCAAGGTTGCTGTTTGTCATATTAGTGCTCAAGACAGGGGATGAACATACAGCAGGAAGAGATAAAGTTAGCATTTCAGTTTACGTAAAAATACCATCTGGTGGCAAGAATGAGTTGCTGAAGCTTTACTGTGACTCAAAATAGGTCATGGGTAAAACAGATAGTTTGTTCTTGTATCCGAAAATGCTATACCTGTTAACGATCAGTTCTATAAAAACATCAAAATATCCTCTCATGTCAAAAGCATTTAATGAAGATGTATCAAAAACACAACTATTTCTCAAAGAGAAGTAAAAATAGATTATTTCATGAATTACATTCAATAAATAATACTTTGTAATATAGTGTTCTGTGGTTTTTGTAAAAATACTTATTTAAAGAAACTTTTAAACAAATCTAAATAGAGTAGACAAGAAATGAGTGTGCAATTAAAAAATATACTGAGCATTTGAACAAAAATTCCAACAATTTTTCTGAATATCATCCAGATATTAAATGATATTGAATATATCCAAATGGATTCCAATATCACAACTAATAACACTCAGAAGTCATAAATCTCTTTTCTTTCATTTAAAAATTGAGCTCAGTGTTAGGTTGTAAGACAATCCTTATTTCACTGTAATTTAATGACTTCATAATCTCTAAGGTATTTAGTTTCTCCATCAGAGAGAACTATGACAATACTGAACAAAAATTGTTTTTGTATTGATTCTCTTAGCTACCCAGTTTGAAGTGACCATGACAGAATACTGTTATACTTGAATGCGGGGTGGAACCTATAATACATCTCTGATGCCTATTTTACAGCAAACTACTTTGGGGTTCCTGTCCCTGATCTTGAGTGTGTCTTAATAACACCAAAGAATTCCTTTCAAATCAAATATAAAATACATTAAAAATTGACTGGTTTGAAGGTTATAAATAATTACAATGAGATAGTGATATTAGGAGCAGAGGTAAATTCTTATAGTTACTTAAACATTATTGGTATTATCTCCTGTATTAGCACTTTTCAGTCTGGTACTTCACAACTTACTTTCAAGGCAGGGCACACATTAAGGAGGATAATATTTGTGTGGCACACTGGAGTAAACCCATCAGGCCATTCCTGGCCAGCAGAACTTGTCTGGGCCCATGGCTTCCCCACTTTCCTCTGTGCTGCCCTGATTGCTAAGAGTTTAAATATCTTGGCATCGCTGTTACCCATTCAGACACTCCACTGTGCCAAGGCCCATCAGTTGGGAAACTGGGATAGCTCACAAGGAGGCCAATTTGACTTCTCTATAGTATAATATTTTGGAACTGGATTAAGATAGTTTAAAACCTGACAGTGATTGGTCATTTTTTTGTTTGACAAGAGATTTATTTATTTTCTTATAACTAGAGTAAGCATACCTATTTTATTTGACTCTTGTCTGCTTAGGTAAGTTTGAATTAGTCTTTGTTCGTATTTCTAGAGTTTTAAATAACTGAAAATTCAGTGCAGATAGTGAAAAGAACACGGTGTTTGGAATCAGGTACGTCTAGGTTTAAATCACACCTGAATGCCAGTCCTAACTCTACTACTTTCCATGTGACATTAGTCAAGTTTAACTTCTCTGATCCTCAGTTTCCCACAGGATAAAACTGAGATAAAAACACCTACTTTTTGGTGTTGTGGTAAGAATTAGAGATATTCAATAAGCAATGTCTAGGACAATGCCTAGGATGTTTAAGATGCTCAATGATGGCTATCATTATTATTTAAAAGTTAAAGCTGAGATTTTATTTTAATTTATACCACATTATGAACACAATATTTATCATTATTTCAAGTAAATATTCAATTACAGAGTATTTTCTTCCTAGTGCTAAGGAACCACAGTTTCTTACTATCTCACATATGTAAAGTTCTTAGATGACTTCACTTGCATGTGAGAATATGGATCAAGGTCAAAGCCAAAAATCTGTGTCTTTCCTTTCAGAAGCCAAAGCCAAGACAGAGCATCAAACACTGACAGTGTACCCTTTAAACATCTTAAGTGGGTCTATCCCCATTAGAGTTACCAAGAGCTTACTTATAGTGAGTCTAAACAGTTGCTTTCAGCCCTTTATTCTTTAGAAAAGGGATAGTGCAATTTTAAAAACATCTCTTTAAAAATTAATTTAGATTTTATTCACTTCTCATAATTATTTTAGAGAGCTGTAATTTGAAGATCAGTGCAACTTAATAAAATGTATTAGAATTTAAGCTCTCTGAGAATATTTTAAATATGAAGACTATATAATAGATATAGCAGTGCTCTGCAGTTAAAATAATTACAATGAGTTATCATAAATTCTGTAAAAGAATGATTTGCATGCATACTCTTAAAAAAAAAGTCAAATCCACACATGAACATATTGATGGCTCTGGGGTTCTTCTAATATGTGTTCCCACAGGGGTTGTCTGAGACTTGGCAGCCCATGTTCTGGCTGGTTACTTGCACTTTGAAGAGAGTCCCATCAGCACACATGCAGAGCTTGTAGCGCACCCAGTCGCCACTACCCAACTGGTCTCCACTGGAGGAACTGGGTAGGCGGGTTGTGCTGACCATCACAGTTCCATTTAGGATGATGCTGTTTTCCTATTAGGAGAATAATAATAATATGATTTATTTGTGGGTGTAGAACAAAGTTAATTAAAAAAACTTACTGGCATATTAACAAAAAGGCACTTATTGGCATATTAACAGAAAGAGTGAAGTCATGACCAAAACAACAGCAGCAACAACAAAAAATAAAACATCAAGATGCTACTGGTGACTTCTCAGTCCATTCAATCCACAATGTATGTCAATAAACTTGCAACATAATTTATTTCTCAAATATTAGTTAAAATTACATTAAAGTTCCTAAATGCAAAAATAAAATTGATGTTGATAAAGTCCCAGATCACTTTCACTTGTTAACTCCTAAGGGAGTTATAACAAAGTTACTGATTTATAAGTTTTTGATGATGAGAAGAAAAGACTGGTTTTGTCCTAGAGGGAATTAATTTTAATTTCTCATGTTTTTGCAACACTGCAAAGGAAGATTAAAACCATATGATTTTGCAGACCAGGTACTCAGAACAAACTGTCTGGAGGTTCTCTTCTTCAAGACAGTGTTCCAGGAATGTTCTCGTATTGTAGGCCTTTAAAATCCTTTCTTTTTAGGGACTCTTAAACCTCTCTCCTTTCCTTCCTCCCTCTCTTCCTTTCTTCCTTTCATTCATTCAGCAAATAATTATTAAGTACCTCCTATGTGTCAGGCACTCTTCTAGGTGCTGGAGATACAGCAGTAAATAAAAAGGCAAGGTCCAAGTTCTCACAGAGTTGACATTTTAATGAGGTGGGGGCAGACAATAAACAAATGAACAGGTAGGACACATAGGACATCAGATGGGATAAATGCTATGAGGAAAGATAAAGCAGAGTAAGTAGAGAGTGACCAGGTGCGGATTCTATTTTACATAGGGTGATCAGAGAAGACCTCTCTGATGGGTCACATTCCCATAGAAACTGGATAAAGTGAGGTAGCAAGGTGAGCGGGTAACTGGGGAAGGGAACTCCAAGTAGAGGAAACAGTGCATGCAAAGGCCCCAGGGCAAAGATGTGCCTGGTGCTCTAGGGACAGTTAGGAGGCCAGTGTAGATGAAGCACAGAGCGTGAGGGGGACAACTGATAGGAGATGAGTCAAAGAAATAACTAGGGACCAGGCATGTGAGGCCAGGGATGGACTTTAGATTTTATTCCAAATTAAATGGGAAGCCATTTGGAAGGTTCTGAATAGGAAAGTGACATGATCTTTTTAAAAGGATCACTCTGGTTGCTGAGTAGAGAACAGACTGCAGGAGTGAAAGGATGCAAGCAGGAAGACAAGTTAGCAGTCTGTTCCAACAGTCCAGGCAGGAAATGATGGTTTAGGCTATGATGGTGATAGTGGAGGTGGTGAGAGGCGGCCAGACTCTATGTCTTCTGAAGGTAGAGCCAGAAGGCTGTGCTGATGGACTGATGGGTATCATTTAACAGAACAGGAACACTGAAAGAAATGCATGTTTGTGGCGGAGGGAGGACATCAAGATTTTAAACTTGTTAAATCTGAGATGTCTATCATATACCAAAGTAGAGAAGCAAGTAGGCAATTGGATATGTGAATCTTAGTTCAGAGGAGAGGTTAAAATAGGAATTCCAATCTTATAAGCCATAAGAGCCATAAGCTTATAGAGGGCCTTTAAAGCAAAGAGAGAAAGCTGGTTATAAAGTAATGGAAATGGCCAATTGATTATGCAGTAGAAGTGTATAAAATAAATATGATTCTTAAGGGACTAGTTTTCAAATTTTGTTCCATACTGCCATCTTGTGGTAATTCAATCTTACTTTCTTTAAACTGTTTCTTAAGCATTCTTTTTTAAAAAACAAGCAATTTGTTAAAATTCTTTCTAATGACGAGGTTAAAATCACATTAACTGAGTAATAAAGCTAATTATCTTTTTTTTTTCCTTTTTGTCTTTTTTCCGTGTCCGGCAACGGATCGCAACCCTCGGTGTCGCCCCTGTACCGGACCAGGACCGGCAATGGGATCACAACCCTCGGCGTTGCCCCCGCGCCTCGCTCAGCCAGTGAGCGGAAACCGGTCTGTATGTGGGATCCGAACCCTCGGCGGGAGCGCCACCGCGCTTCCCAAGCGGCACACTGAAGCAGTGTGCCACCGGGCCGGCCCAAAGCTAATTATCTTTTTAATACTGGCTTCTTTTCCTTTGTAGAGAAACTGATGTGTGTGCATATATTTCAAAATATTTTAATATCTGTCATATTAGAAACAAGGTAGAATGGGACAAGAATTTTCAGGTGGAAAAAATAAAAGGTTTTGGTAACTTGCTAATGGTGTATATGCAGATCTCTTACATCCTCTTGCTTCTTTGACTTTCTCATGCAGAGAACAACAGTCTCACTGGGGCCACTCTTCTCTCAGAGGAATGGCTTCTTACCACAATACATGTAAAAATACTCAGTATTGCTATTGAATTTTTAGTAAGAATTACATTTTATGTTTGTCTCAATTTATTTAGAGATAGGTTTATGTGCTTCAGGGGAAAAAGGCTGTTTCTGGAAGTGAAAGAAAACTACTCAATTTTTAAAAATTTCCTTTTCCAAGAACTGTGAAATTGAACTTTTTTAAAAAGAAAAGAATTATTTATAAGTCCTTAGGTTTGGGTTCATTTTTGTCATGTAATGCTTGGTAAGACAAATGTAGTTAGCTTTAGTTAAGTTAACTTTAGCATGTAGTAGGTACCCAAAGGCATTTTGAATAAATATGCTTTGACCAGACTTGTGGGCCAATATAAAGTTTTTGGACTTATGGCTCCCTTATACGATATATGATACCTGTTAAAGTTCGGATATAATCTGGGCAGCACAAAGAAAATTTCAATTGCAACACCCACAATAACGGCAAAAATATTTTTCTTTACAGTTAATAACAGATGTCTAAATAAAAATACATTTTATACATTTGTTAATTGTTTTCTTTCACATCACTGGATATAAAACCCAGCAAGGGATATGAAAAATTTTTAATTAAAAACAACAACAACAGCAACTTCAAGGCATGGATACTTACTTTGCTCTTCTAGAATTCTCTTTTAGAAGGTTTTTTTTTTTTCTTTCCCATTTTATAATAATATGAGGGTATTTCAAAAGGTTTGTGGAAAAATAGAATTAGAAAGGTAACACAACTCTTTCCATGAACTTTTTGAAGTATCCTCGTAAAAGTGATCATTATATTAAAAAAAAAATTTTTTTTAGAAAATACAGGCTAACAGAAATGAAGATAAAATGAAATAATTTGTTACTGTGCTACTCATAGCTAAATATTGTGGACATTTTGGCACACCCTTCCAAATTCTTATTAACATACATATGTTCTGAAAAACAAAAATATTTCACAAACTGTTTTGTAACTGTCTTTTACTTCACAATCCATTTTGAACATCTATGTCAGGGCCGGCCCGGTGGCGCACTGCTATAGTGCGCCGCTTGGGAAGTGTGGCGGCGCTCCCGCCAAGGGTTTGGATCCCACATACAGACCGGTTCCCGCTCACTGGCTGAGCGAGGCGCGGGAGCAGCACCGAGGGTTGCGATCCCGTTTCCGGTCCCAGTCCGGTACGGGGGCGACACTGAGGGTTGCGATCTGTTGCCGGACACGGAAAAAGACAAAAAAAAAAATATACAACTACATCATCATTTTTAATAATTGCATACTATTCCACATATGGACTTATGTATCCAAGAACCTAATAATTCTCTTAAACTCTTTAATACTCACAGCCTTTAACTCCATATTACCACCCATGTGAAACTCAATGGTTTTGCCCATAATGAACACTCCTTCATTTCCACGCACAATAGCACGCCCATCAACTTTTATATTTAAATCACTGGTAGCATTGCTGGTAATCTGAAAATTAAAAAAAAGAAAAATACCGAAAAGAGTTTCTAAATTGATGTAAGATTATCAGAGATAAAGAAATAGGCACTTCACCCATGAGATATGAAAGACGAGTATTTTTATTCATGTTTTAAAGATGTGGAAATTGAGATGAAGAGAGAGGACTTGACGATGGCCACACAGCTCGTTAATGACAGATCTACAACTAATCCTTTCCAATGTTCTGGAATATACTCTTTCATACCACTATAAAACGGCATAACTCTCCTCCCACTTTATAACTTTAGACAATAATTCTCTCCCAGTAGTAAGCAAAGAAAATAAATCATACCCTTTCAGTAGATGCTTTTTGAACATTCAAACTTTTTACTCCACTTGGCAAATGAAACTCATGAGTTTCATAGTCTGTGCTGAATAAGACATTCTGAGTCCTTGGGTCGAAAAACTGCATACCAATGTCACTCGTAATAGAAGTTTTGTTCTTTTCTACACTGAGCTTTGTTGTCCCTTGCTGAAAAACAATCTTCAAAAAACCACTTTATTATGAATATGTTTTCAAAGAATACTGCAACTGAAATCATGAATAATATTTAAAAAAACCCCAAAGAAAACCCACTACAAAACCCTACAAAAAAACTTACAATAACAGACTAACTTCAAATACTTTTAACTGTGTCTGTCTTCCCTCCACCCACTTGGGAGAAAAGTTCTTGAAAGTGAAGGCTTGTGTGTTTATTTGCTAACACTGCCTTGCCCAAGTACTTCAATCACAGAGAACACAGCCCAAGCCTAAGATGGGCAGGGGTGGGAGTAAGAATATCTCCTGGAGGCTTTATTTGGTTGAAAACCTATGTTATGGCAGCCATTTGGCATGGGCAGCCACTGACTAGATTGGAATGTTCTCTTCCAGACTCCCAGAAGATGCAGGGTATTCCAACCTAGGAAGGTGCTTTTTAAAAAACTTTTATTTATATTTATTTTTGTCAGGTACAGTGTGTTGTTTCAATACGTGCATACATTGCACAGTGATTCACTTAAGAGTGGACAGCATATTTCTGTACCCATTAGTCCATCATTTCTCCTCTCCCCCACCCCCTGTCCCTCTGGTAACTATTATTCGACTCTCTAGGAAGGCACTTTTTTAATGGCTTCCTTGTATGGAGGACAGAAGAGCAACTTACGTAATCTTATACTAATTACATCTCTCATAGAAAATGCTACCATTGAGCAAAATCTAGAATATTAAGGAAGCATCTAACTTTAATGGATTACAAGACCAACAATATTATTAAATATATTTATAAATTTTCTCTAAATGAAAATATCCATTTGCAATAACTAACTCTAGATTCTCGCAAAAAAATTTTCTCTAATGTCCCTCTTCCATTTGTACTGTATTTCAATTAATGTGGTAACTTACGGGCTGGTTGTTGCCAGTGATGACCAAATTTTCATTTCGCCTTCCTCCTACTGTGCTCTTATAAAGAGGATGTATAACTCCCATGTCAGATACTTGCTTAAATCGAAGCAGACCACTTTCATGAAACTCCATGCTGTCACAGCCATTTGGTCCAATGCGAATCACAACCCAGATAACAAGTGTTATCTTAAAAAGAACACAAGCCCACTGTTAACAGGCAGCATACATTTAACATAATTGGAAAACAAACAGAAAATATCATTGCCAAAACATTAAAGACTTCCTGAAAGGTTCAATCAGTGAGATGAACTAACCAATTGGTTTTCCACTTACAAACAAAACTAATTTTATTTTTACTAAGGTATTATATGCAAATAGCCAAAAGTCAAAACCTCCTATAAGGTCTGTAATAAAAAAGAGCAGTTTCTTATTTCTTCTACCTTCTCTACATTTCATTCCCAAGGAATAACCACTTTCAATAACTTTAACTATTTTGTCTAGAATTTACCTCCAATTTCTAAATAACATATGCATACTGTTATTTCTTCATTCATCAAGTTTAGGTTTCATCTATTAATTTCCTATTTTAGCAGATTAGAATTTTAGGTCATTTATACCTCTTCTCTCCCCCAACTCCAATCTCAAGTTTTGGTTAAACCCATGTTCAGTACTTTCAGTATTATAAACACGTAAATATTGTTTACTGCTAAACCAGACACTATACTATGATGGTATTTCCTATCTTGTACTTTGCATCTCAGAGTTTAATACTTCTTTATTTGCCTAATTTGTTTGAAAATCTAACTAAATCTCAAACCCTCCAACGTTTCTGTAAAAATCTCTCAATGAAATGTCCTATAAATCCAAACCTCTCAGATGACGTATTAATTTTATTTTTCACTTCCAGGAAATTTTTCTGGAATCTCTATCTTCCTGCTCCAATCTGGACTGGTTACTCTCTGGACTTCCTGCACAGCTGTAATCATGACCTTTTCCTTCACTTTCATACTGGATCTTTATTTCGTCATTCTCCTGTGCTAGAAAACCAGTTTCCTATACCCTTGTCTTCAACTTTCTTGGTTTAGTGCTTTCTTTTGGGAGAGCACTTCTGCCAGTGGCTTCCTTAGAAACAATGTATGAGAAATAAAATTTTCTGGAAACTGTACATGGCAAAAATATGCCTTTATAATCCCTTGCCTTTGATTGATAGTCTGAATAGGTTATGTTTCTAGATTTGAAATTATTTTCTTTTTGAACTTTGAAAGCCATTGCTTTATTGCCTTCCAGTTTCCAATGCTGCTTTTGAGAGGCCCAATGGCACTGTGGTTTATATTCTTTATATATAACCTGTTTTGTTTTGTTTTTTCTCCTCTGGAAGACTTTAGGATCTTTTCTTTATGCTTGGTTTTCTTAAATTCATAGTAATGGCCTCGGCATGAGTCTTTTTTATGCATTATGCTGGTTCCAGAATAGTAGTTTTCAATCTGTTCTAGGAAAGTTTCTTAATGCATTTATTTCATAACTTTCTCCCCAATGTTTTTTTCTGTTCTCTGTTTCTGAAACTCCTATTAATAGCATGTTAGAGCTCCTGGATTAATTCTTTAACTTTGTCGAACTTTCTGGAAGAGTTCCTTTTCTTTATCTTCCAATATCTATCCACTCATCCATCCATCCATCTCTGTGTGTGTGTGTATTTCTATGAGTTCTTCATTATTCTTCAATTGCTCTTTATAAATGGCATTTTTTTTTTAAGTTTTCCATTATTTGTTGCATTTTCTCTATCTCCCTGAGTTTCTGCTTCCTCCATGGTTTGGGTGTTTTGGTGTCTATCATTTTCAATTCTTAGAGCTTTCCTCCAAAACCTATTGATCCCTAGCTTAGTGTTTAGACTTAACAGTGAGGTTGTAAAAAGCCCATGGAAAATTTTCTATGTGGAGTTGGGCTTATGACTGACAGCCTGCACAATAGGAAGGTTTGGCTTTTTCACTGGGACCTGCAAATGTCAATATCTTCAGACCTTTTCTCTACATGCCTCAGTTTCTCCAGAGAAGGTTCCTCTATCTCTTGCCTGGGGCCAGGAAGCTGGAGGTGGAAGATAAGGATAAGGGAGCACAGGAAAGTCAGTCTCAGAGCTCAGACTCCCCTGACTTCATATGGAAACACACCCCTACCCTCCTCTGCAATGTCCTCAGGCAGAAAGAACTCTGTCTGCTCCACTGTGTCCAGAGACACACTAGTTTTGGGTGGGATTAGGAGGAGTAGGTGTATGGCTGCTGGATCTGAATCACTTCAGAACTGCTGCAGGGCTGGCCCGTGGCTCACTTGGGAGAGCGTGGTACTGACAACACCAAGTCAAGGGTTAAGATCTCCTTACCGGTCATATTTAAAAAAAAAAAAAGAATGCAACCATGTTCATAATCAGTTTTATGTATACCAATAATCACTCTTTCTGAAATTATCTGTCTACACATATGCCAGAGGGTCTCAAATTTAACCCTCAGATAGTCACAACCACAAATTAAAAATCCTTCTTCTTTAAAAAAGCAAATATCTTTGGAAAAGGCAACATATCAATCGGGTCCTCAGCACAAAGTATAAATCAGCCTACCAGATCCTTTCATTCTTTGACAACAGGGATTTAGGGTACAAAATATAACCTTTTACTACCATCATAGAGTTTATAATTTTATAATCTAGCTGAAGAGGCAATACAAAACACAGGAAAAGTTGAATGAAAACAGAAAGGATTATACTTTTTAGGAGAGACAAAGGTAGTAATATCAAGCCAAAGTTCTCTTCCACTGAGTCAACTTTACCCTTATTAAAAGTTAAGTCCTTTAAAGGGAAGAATCCATGAACATTTTTTTCCTAAATGAGATAAATATAAGGAAATATTTGCATACTAAGTTTTTTATACAGTCATTAAAACCCAATAGGAAATGAATCATGTATAGAAAAGCAGAAAATAAAGACACTCCCCAAAGAAATTACAGAAACAAAGTCCATTTCAAAGAGATGAAAAGTCCCCCAGGATAATTAAAGAATATTCTGTACCATATACTCACAATTAAATTGATGACAGCCAGGATGAACAAGAGGATAATAACACAGATGGCTAAATTGCCCTTTCTCCCTCTCAATCCTGTTTTATGGAGACGATCTTCATCAATTGGAATATAACCAGCTTTAAAGTTACTATTGTGCTCTTTATTAACATTCCTTCTCTCAACAGCCTTTTCACGCATGGACTTCTTTACAGGACCATTGGAACTTTGCTAAGAACAAAATACAACACAATTAAACAGCTGTGCCCTCTCTTTTTGATGCATTTATTTATTAAGTGCAAATTTATAGCTAAAAAAAGCTGAATTGCTTAATGATATATTTTGCACTAATAAACTATAAGTCACATTGACTTGCAGGCTCCAAGTAAGGACATTACTGTGCTTAGAGGGATAGAGTAGAATCCTCAGTGTTATTTAATAACATATTTTTCCTCTCTGCTTTCAATAGTCCTACTCTAATAAAGTGTACCACTCATTTCTGGGCAGAGTTAACATGTACAATCCATGGGGGGGTAATCTTGTTTTTATTAATGATTTATGAATTTGTTTACTTATATACACACATACACACATATCTGTCATTTAATGAAAAGAATTTGGAATGGCTGGCATAACTGATTATTTATAATTCCATTGACTAAAGTTAACATTGTCCTAAACCAGCAGTTTTCAAAGTGCGGCTGGGGAGTCCTGGGAGGGGGTTCACCTGAACCCTTTTGAGAGTTTGAAATATCAAACAGATTTTCAAAATAACACCAAATTGTTACTTCCTTTTTTATTCTCCTACTCTCATGAATGTCCAGTAGAATTGTCCAGAGGCTACATGACCATATGTGATGGCATCATCATTCTAACAGCTAATGGAATGTGTGCTTGAATATTCCTGAGCTTTAAACATTTCTCAATTTTAATTTCTAATTTAATATGGTAAATATCAATAAATATAATGCACATAAACAAAAGTTCTCTGGGGTCTTCAATAATTTTTAAGAGTGAGAAGAGAAACTGAGACCCCAAAACTTGAGAATCTCTCACCTATAGTTGAATGCCATTTTAGATAATATTTTTGTACATCACAAACACAAAAGGAATGAGCAGAAATGGATACTGTTCAACTTACCTATTTTTCAGAGCTCTGAGAAAACTCATTTATTGAATAAGCACATAGTAAATAAGCACTTCATGCTTAAACATTAATACCATAAATAGGAATACAAAAGATATAGAGGACAGAACCCTTATCCTCTAGGTATTACAGACATGATTTATATAGATAAATAGTTAATAATACAATAAAGCACTCTGTATGTTCAGGTGCCAAAATCAACTGTATAGGCAATACATGCTGTGGAGCTCACAGGGAGGGGAATCAGGATGCCCGGAGTTGCTAGGACAATGGGGAGGAGCAGGTGGGTCAGATCCAGCAGAGCTGGGAGAACAAAGTGGGAAAAGCAAAGCCAGGTTGTGAAGGTTCTTGGATAGCAGGGTACACATTCTAGTTTATTTTTCTGTTTAACTGGGGTCACTGGAGGTTTTGAGCATGAGTGATATATGTTTCAGGGTGTTATGTGTGTGGGTGTTTGTAGGAGAGATAGAAAAGAGGAATACTGGTAGGTAGGTGTTGGGGATATTGTAGTAATGAGGGTTTGAGATAACGAGGAACTAAACAAATGTGGGATGAAAAAGGATAGATTAAAAAGATGCTTCAAAAGAAGACAACTGGGGCCGAGCCCGTGGCGCACTCGGGAGGGTTCGGATCCTATATAGGGATGACCGGTGCGCTCACAGTGCTCACTGGCTGAGCGCGGTGCGGCCGGTCTCAAAAAGGACAAAAAAAAAAAGAAGACAACTGAATTTGTAGTGAGGTTCAAAAAATAATCTCATGTTTATTGTATGGTGGGAAACAAAGGAAGGCAGGTTCTACACGTGTTGCCTTCTGAACTGAATGAAATATACCACATACCTCGAAGGTAGCTGGAAATATGGGACTGGATATTAGGTTGTTCAGGACTAGACACACAGATTTAAGAGTCTTCAGCCTAGAGGTAAGTTAAAGCTGAGACCACATCATTTCACTGTGAAACTAGTATAGAGGGAAGAGAATAAAGAGCTGAGGATGTAGTACAGTTTTGGGAAACTTTAAATATTCAGGACCACTAGAATAGGACAAATATAGTAGTCCCCCCTTATTCACGGTTTCACTCTTTCCATGTTTTCAGTTACCTACAGTCAACCACAGACTGAAAATATTAAATGAAAAATTCCAGGGCCGGCCCGTGGCTCACTCGGGAGAGTGCGGTGCTGATAACACCAAGGCCACAGGTTCGGATCCCATATAGGGATGGCCGGTTAGCTCACTGGGTGAGCGTGGTGCTGACAACACCAAGTCAAGGGTTAAGATCCCCTTACCGGTCATCTTTTTTTAAAAAAATAAATAAATAAAAAAAGAAAAATTCCAGAAATAAACAATTCATAAGTTTTCAATTGTGTGTTCTGAGTAGTGTGGTGAAATCTCTCGTCATCCTGCTCCATCTCACCCAGAATGTAAATCATCCCTCTGTCCAGTCCATTCCCCTGTCTATGCTACCTGCCTGTTAGTCACTTAGTAGCCACCTTTGTTGTCAGACTGACTTTCCTAGTATTGTGGTGCTTTTGTTCACGTAACCCTTATTTTCCTTTATATTGGCCCCAAGGCACAAGAGTAGTGATGCTGGTATGTTGTTATAATTGTTCTATTTTTTTATTATTGCTGTTAATCTCTTATTGTGCCTAATTTATAAATTAAACTTCATTGTATGTATGTATAGGAAGAAACATAGTATATATAGGGTTCATTCAATATTATCTGAGGTTTCAGGCACCCACTGGGGGTCTTGGGGACTACTGTACAATGAATGGTGAGAAAACCAAGAATGTGCAGTACTGCTTAACTTGATCTGTCAAGAAGTGCCTTCAAAACCTTCAAAGACGATCTCTGAACAGCAAACAGGTAAGGAGGAAATAGTCTCAAAAAGATGCCAACATGTATACAGCTATTTAAATGAGTCTAGAAGGAGAACAGAGGAAAGAGAAAATTATAGCTAAAGAATTATGAGATGTCAGAGGAAAGCTGTGTTTTAGTCTTTTTCCTCCCCCTTCCCTATTTTGGGGGAAGACTTATGTCAAAGGGGTAAAAAGCCAAGAGGGGTAAAGACCAAAGGTCTCAGAGTGGGGCAGATAATGTGGGAAATAAGATCTTTCATGAGGCAGGAAAGAAAGAGATATAGAATACAGGAGAAAAGAATAGCCTTAAAGGGTGGAATCCTGCTTCATTTGAAACTGGATAGAATGGTTCAGACCAAAAAGAGAAAACATTCTTCTTCCTAGGGACATAGGTCAAGAAACAGTGGAGAGGGCGATTGGAATCTTAATGTGGTGGCAGGAGTAGCAAGCTGGTTGAAGGCTTATGGAAAATGGAAAAAGACAGGAATAATTATTTTTTTTTTTTGGTCCTTTTTTGTGACCGGTAAGGGGATTGCAACCCTTGGCTTGGTGTCGCCCGCACCGTGCTCACTGCTGAGCGCACCGGCCATTCCTATATAGGATCTGAACCCACGGCGGGAGCGTCGCTGCGCTCCCAGCGCCGCACTCTCCCAAGTGTGCCACGGGGCCGGCCCATAATCATTTTGAATAAGATGGCAGACAAAAGTTTAAAAATTCCACAAAGGAGTAAGGAAGATTCCATAGGAGGTAATATAATCTATCTAAAAGATTTTAGAACAAAACAGATTGCCCAATATACTTGTGTAGGTTGTACAGTGCCCGAGGCTGTAACATCTAAGAGGGTGCACTGAAAATGTAGACATCTCAGAGCTGAATATGCATTTTGATACTTTTCGGCTGAATGCGATAAAATACCTTAAGGGAGAGGTGCTTTCTTCTAATTTGCACAAGACACAGTATGGGCTTGGGACAGTTCTAATAAGTGAGCAACTTAAAAGTCAGCCAGAGGTTGAACACAGGTCCACATAAAAGAGAGAAAGGACAAAATTCATCCTTCTTGGGATATATATTCACTTTTCTCTGCCAATGCATGTACATTATCATTTAACATTTAGCATTTAACATTTACTGAATAGTTATCATATGCCAGGTGCTCCAAACTACCAACATGAACAAGACATAGGGCCATTCTTCAAGGAGCTTACTTATAGGCCAGCAGGGTAGACAGACAAGGTCACTACCAACTGCAGTACAACACGGTTAGTGCTATAGTGCAGCAGTGCATACAATACTGAAAAGGTACAAAAGAGGAATGCAACTCCATTTAGCAGGCAGGGGCATCAGTGAAGGTTTCTAAGAAAAGCTGAGGTTTGACTTGAATCTTGAAGGATGGACAGGAGTTAGCCAGGCAGGAGAGCAGAGAAGGGTATTCTAGGCAGAAGGAACAGCATGAAGACTTTGAGTACAAGTCATCTCTGGGGGAACTCATTTTGGTAACTTCATGTGGATGGTGGGGATAGGTATAGCAGTGAGGCAAAAAAATGAGGTGAGAGATATGTTTAGGGGCCAGTAAATGACATAAGTGTCATGGCAATAATGATAAACTATCCTTAAGGCAATGGAGAACTACTGAAGATTTAAAATAGGTTAGTGATACGATCAGACTTGCACTGTAACAAAATCACACCAAAAAGAGAAGGACTTGAAGAGAAGAGCCTAGAGATGAAGATATCAACAGAGTCCAAATGAGTGCCTGACTGAGCTTCAGGTTTGGAGATGAAGAGAAGATTGGAGAGAGGCTTTAAGAGGTAGAACTGAGGCTTCTGGTGAAGATGGTGGAATAGACGGTCCCCAGGATCACTCTCTCCCACAAATCAACCAATTTACAGCTATAAAAAAAAGCAATGACAGTCAAGCTGGGGCTGCTAGAGCTCAGGGGAAGAGGAGGAGAGACCTATGGAGTGCATGAAGGTGGGAGAAGCCACAATGACAGAAAGAAAAAACTGCTCTAACTGTTTCAAGCCCCAGCCATGTCCAGGCTGGAGCTGCTGAGCTCATGGAGCAGGAACGGACAAAAGCCACAGCTGTGCCCTTTGGATTGAGTTGCTTGGAGGCAGCAGGGGAGAAGAGGGCCATGGTGGCCCCCAGGCCAGCAAGACCACTAATAGGGTTCCCGTGGTCCCATATAGGAGCGAGGAGCCACAACAACTGAAAAAAGGAGCCTCTCAGAGGCTGGTGAGTCATTGCAAGGGACAGAAGCATGGCCTGTCCCACGGGAAGTGTTTGCAGCACAGGCAGTGGGGGAGACAGGCCCACCAGGGGAACGCTGGGGCACAGTAAGGACAGCTGATCTGCACCCCAATCAGCAAAGGACCACTCAGAGGAAACAGGTTAGGAATATAGAATTGCATGGGGTGCAGTTTGATGAAAAGACTCAGGCCTGGACCAAAGTTTCTACACAACCCAGGTGTACTGGATCTCTTGAGAGCCGGAAGTACCTGTAAAGTCAATCATTAAAACCTAAGCTGAACAAAAAGCCTTCCCCAAGGAATCAGCAGCAAAGCAGCAATTTACCTCAACCCCAGAGCTCAAGTGCTGGTCTCCACAGAAGTCCCGCCATTTTAGAAGTAAGCAAAGGACAACAAATTAGTTCTAGTGCAGAGTTAAAATGGTAGGAACAGAAAATCCAACACAGAAATGAAAGAAAAATCAAAGTGCCTGCAACCAGAGACAAAGTTTCATATTAACTAGTACAAGTCTCATTTCACCAAACACCTAAGCACACCTATAACACCTAGAAGGACCAGAAGTCCCCTGGGCTACTAAGCCAGAAAGGGGAGAGGTGCTCCCCAACACCTGCAACCAATACGGAGGGTGGGATATGAGGCCCCCCCATGCGCAGCCAGCCCAGTGACAACCACCAAGCTGCAGCAAGAAGGGCCCCGTGTTCCCGAGCTGGAACAGTCGGAGGTGGAGAGGGCTTTTGCCACACTCCCTGACATCTGCACTCAGCCCAGCAATGACCAAGCCACCACTGGAAGCCCCCCATCTCCCCTGTGGGAACGAGGGGGGTGCCACAGGCCTCAATCCTGCCCCTCCTTTCTCCTTCCATCTCATTTCCTTCCCCTTTCCCCTCTCCCCCTCCCTCCCAACTGCTCCGCAACAACATCTTAGAATGTAAAAAATAACAGTAATAAAATTACATTTTCTAAAAAAAAAACAAAAATGAGGTAGAATTGTCAGGACCTGGTAATTAATTGGATATAAATGTGACACAGAGGGGTTGTAGTGGATTGAATTATGTCCCCCCAAAACTCAACAAAGCTTGAATTTCGTCCCCCAAATTTTATGTATTAGAAACTTAACCCCCACTGTGATTGTTAAGAGGGAGGGAAATCCTATTATGGTAATTGAAAGGTGGAGCCCTGAAGAGGTGATTGGATTGTAGGACCGTGCAGTAGTGAATGGATTAAAAATGGTGGTCAGGGGTGTGGTTCTGAGGGCTTTAAAAGAAGAGGAGAGTCTCTCTCTCCTCTCTCTCCTCCCCCTCCCCCTTTCCTTCTCCCTCCTTCTCTGCTTCCATCATCTTGCAATGTGAGACCCCTGAGTCACTGTCGCCACCACCTGGACTTCCCAGCCTCAGAAACTGTGAGCTATAAATTTCGTTTTTCTTTATAAATCACCCAGTTTCAGGTACTTTGTTATAAGCAATGGGACGGGACTAATACAGGGGTGTAAGACGAGTTCCATGCAGGACAGACTACATAATTTGTGGGGTCCAGAGCAAAAAGAAAACGTGGGGCTCCTTGTCCAAATATCAAGCCCAGGACAGCAGAGCATTAAACTAAGTGGCAGTCCTTCTGAACTCCCTCAAGCTGGCCAGCCCTGCTCCTAGGTTAACCAAGTGGTTGTAGATACGATGCAGTCCAGTTTTGAACGTTTTTGAGTTTGAGGTCACTATGGCACATTCAGTTAAGTTCAAGGCTGGAGACATAAATGCATAGATTTGAACTGAAGACTGAAGAATGAGTCAGATTGCCTAGCTTATGTACAAAGTAGAAATAGAATGTCAAGAACCTTGAGAGTTTCAATAGGTATGATGTAGATGGGGAAAAAATTGTCTAAAACAGCGACTGATAAATTAGGAGGGAAATCAGGAAAGCCAAGGGACAATTTTAAGCTCAACAACTTCAAGAAGCTTTGTCTCCTTTTAGTTGCACTCATTGTTTTATATTTTACTTTATTGTTACACATCTGCAGCTGACCTCTTGTCATATCTCATTTTTCTACATTTATTTGGCAGTTTGACTTTAAGATCCCTGAAGGCAGGTTTTAGGTCTTCTATATTTCATGTCCCTTTGGATGAGCCTCCAGTGACATATATCTAATAGGTCTCTAAAAAGTTCATTACCTAAAAAAATCTTTCCAAAGGTCAAAGAGAATGTTGAAAATCTGACTCTTTTTTTCCAACAATGTTGAGGAATGAGACTTTTTCAAGAGAAACTATCATATAGTTTTTAAAAAGAAAACAATAGTTAAGGGGAAAAAGTGACTAGGAGAATTATTTTTATTATAATAAATCACTCTAGCAATTATATGCATGTATATGTATATAGGCATATACATTTACACGCACACATATGCGTGTACGCATATGTATAGCTTGATTTGGGAGGAAAAGCCCTTTAAACTATTATAAATTACAAGTTTACAATGCACGTCGGGAAATCTGTGATAAATCATTTTTTAAAAGTGATTTTAAACCAACCGGACAGCAGACGGTTTTATGCGGGTGTCTAAATCTCCAAAAAACACAGTGGGAGGGGAAACCTGCAATGCCTGCATATCTGGGATGGCAGAAATAAGTGGCCGCAAGCTGACACCCAGGCAACAGCTGACCATTTCTTGACTGGTGTCAGGGGCGCCTCCGGATTGGGGCCGAGGTTATTTTTATCCGCATCTTTGCTGGCGGAGGAGCGGGGCAAGTCCCTGCGCAGGCTCCGGGCTGGCACGGCCCTTCGGACGGCGCCCCCTCCTCATCCCCGCAGACGGACAACCAGGCCATGTCGAGGGCCGGGGCTTGCTCCCTCTCCCCGGCCTGGGAGCTCCTGCCCAGGGTCCTGTCCGGCCTTCGCCAGCATCCCCGGCAGCGGACAGCTCCTCCCGCCCCGCCCCGCGGAGCCAGGCCCCCGCCAGCCCTCGCCTCCCGACCCCCGCCGGCCGGCCCTACCGCGGGCCCCCCGGGCAGGACCCGCTTCCCA